CACCCAGCCGCCGGACTGGCCCCGACGCGGGCCCCGGGCCGACCGGGGCGACCCCGGTCTCTGCCCCCGCCCCCAGCCCAGCTGCTAAGGCAGACGGCAGCTGAGGCAGCGCCGGCCCCTCGGCGGGACCGAGCCCCTGAGCCTGCCCGGGATCCTGTGGTGGAGCTGGGCAGCGAGCAGCCCTTGGCGCGCAGCAGTTGCTGCACGCAGTTACCCTGGGCGACCGATTACCGTGAGAACCCCAAAGCGGGAAGGTTAGAGAGGCGATTATCGGTCCTGCGCCGCCAACTGTCCGACCGGTGGTGGTCCTCCAGCGGAGAGTGAGGTAAGAGGTGGATCAGACCACGGCCTTCTCCCTGGGGCCCTCCAGGCCCTCCGCAGCCTCCTGCCAGCAGGTGCGCTGGGGAGCCCCAGAACAGGCTGGGGGCTGGCTGTGTCCTGTAGGGCTTCAGAGCCCTTGCCAAGGCTGCCCACTGGCGGGGCCCAGGCCTTGAGGCAGTGATGAAACCTCTCCCCCATACCCGTCTCTGCGACCTAATGGCAGCGGTAGTCTGCCTGGGTCGCAGTCTGTGGGACCTGACCCCGCCTTTTGGGCGGCCTGAGGAGCCTGAGGGCCAGTTGGGTCCTGGACGCCTTGCTCCCTCAGTGATGACGGCTGGGCAGGGTCTGGGGACCCGGCCCTGAGGGTGAAAGTTGTGCCTTGGGACCTTGCCCTTTCAGGCCGGAACAGAGAATAACATTTGTTTGGTGGAGACTTATGAGAACATCGTTACCTGACCTTGACCTGACCTCAATAACAAAGGATCTGGGACATCCCTGGTGGTCCAGTGGGTAAGACTCCCCGCTCCCAATGCAGGGGGTCGCGGAACTAGCCCGCAAGCATGCTGCAACTAGGACCTGGCGCCGACTAAATAAATACATAATTTTTTTTTTTTTTAAAAAGGATCTAACATCAAGAAGTTTGCAACAACTAACCACGCCCCCTCCACCTTTCCTATAAAAGGGCTTTGCTGAAAGCTTTAGGGGAGTTTGGGGTTTTTAAGGCATGAGCCACCAATCTCCTCGCATGGCCCTGCAATAAACCTTTCTCTGTTACAAACTCCAACGTTTTGGTATTGTTTGGCCTCACTGTGCATCAGGCACATGGACTTATGTTCGGTAACATTAATTGCCAGAGGAGTGGACTGGAATTGAGTTTTGTCACTTTGTTGAGTAATTCACACCAGCTAATAATCATAGGTCTTTTCTTTTAAAATGTGCACCATAAAAAAAAAAAAAAAAGGACCTCCCTGGCGGTCCAGTGGCTAAGACACTGCCCTTCCAATACAGGGGGCATGAGTTCTATCCCTGTTAGGGGAAGTTCTCCATGCTGTGCGGCACGGCCAAAAAACAAATGAAAATAAAAATAAAATGTGCACCATGGTGTTTTGCTTGTATGTTATTTGTCTATTATTATTATTTTTCCACACCATTCCACAACTAAGGGGCCTGGTGTCTTACTAGCTGTGTGACCTCACTTTCATTCCTTATGGGTGTAAAAACAGTCAAATGAGGTAATAGTTGTTATTTTGTTATCTGGACTCATATTGCTCCATTTAGGCAAACGTTATCTCCCTCTCGCCCTGGACTGCTCACCTCTTCCCACTATTTCATAAGCTATGGATTTCATCCAGTGGTGAATTTTTCATCAAACTTAACTGCAGGCCCCTTCCAAGGCCTTGTAGTTGATTTTACATTCATGAATTCATATCCTTTCTATTAGAGAAACCTGCAAATTGTATAAGCTTCAAACCCATAAAACCTGTGTTTGCCTCTGCTCCTAATAAGGCCACCTCCATGAGCTTCCCAGACAAGACTTTTTACCTAGTTTCAAATGTTCTCCTGTCCTGCTGGTCATTAATCACGCAACTCCCTTTAGCTCTGATTACTTTTGTATTGGTTCTGGGGGATACTTCACAGTGTATTCTGTGCACAAGACTCAAACTAAAGATGGTAAATAATAATAGCTAACTCTTAATCCTTATAAGAACCTTATGAGAAAATTAAGGCCCAGAGAGGTGAATTGATTTGCTGAAGATCACACAGCTAGAAAGTGGAAATGCTGGGATTTATACCTTTGCAATCCAATTCCAGAGCCTGTGCTCAGAATCACCATGCTTTGTCTCTCACATGATGATGTCCTAGTTGAGAAGATTTGGGAAACAGACTTTCATATACTGTTGGTGGATATATACACTGGTATGACCTTTCCAGAGCAACCTGGTTAAAAATATTTAAAAGATGTGGGCTTCCCTGGTGGCGCAGTGGTTGAGAGTCCGCCTGCCAATGCAGGGGACACGGGTTTGTGCCCCGGTGTGGGAAGATCACACATGCCGCGGAGCGGCTGCGCCCGTGAGCCATGGCCGCTGAGCCTGCGCGTCTGGAGCCTGTGCTCCGCAACGGGAGAGGCCACAACAGGGAGAGGCCCGTATACCGCAAAAAAAAAAAAAAAAAAAAATTAAAAGATGCATTCTCTTTGACTCACAATTCCACTTCTAGAAACTGCCTAAATAAACATTCATAAATGTGTGTAAATATTTGGCTTTAACAATGTTTACCATATCGTTGTTTTAATAGAGGAAAAAGAAACTAGCAATATAAATTTGGTTTAGTCAATTTAATTGTAATGCAGTAATACAACAGAAGAGATGTAGCCATTAAAAATGATATAGCAGGGCTTCCCTGGTGGCGCAGTGGTTGAGAGTCCGCCTGCCGATGCAGGGGACACAGGTTCGTGCCCTGGTCCGGGAAGATCCCACATGCCGCGGAGCGGCTGGGCCCGTGAGCCATGCCACTGAGCCTGCGCATCCGGAGCCTGTGCTCCGCAACGGGAGAGGCCACAACAGGGAGAGGCCCGCGTACCACAAAAAAAAAAAAAAATGATATAGCAGAATATGATGAGGAAATGTTCATGACATTGAAAGCAGGTAGAGAACAGTTTGTAGAACTTATATATATATATATATATATATATATATATATAAACATTAAAAAAAAAAAGACTAGTAGAAAGCTACCCTAAACTGTTGTCTCTTAGGCTTTGGGGTATCATGAGTAGTTTTAATTTTCTTCTTTGTGCAGAATTTCTATCACCAAAAAACACGTGGCTTTTATAATTAAACAGGGTTGGTTTTTTTAAACTGTAGTAATATACAAAGGTAAAATTTACCATTTTAAAATGCATAGTTACCTAAGTACATTCACATTATTGTGCAACCTTTAACTCTATCTCCTTTTTCATCACCCAAACTGAAATTCTGTACCTATTAAACAACTCCTCATTCCTCCCTCTCCACCACAGCCCCTTGGACATCATTATTCCACTTTCTGTAGCTATTATTTGACTATTCTAAGTACCTTAGATAAGTGGAATCATACAGTATTTGTCCTTTTGCGTCTGGCTTATTTCACTTTGCATAATATCTTCCAGGTTCACCCATATATGTAGCATGTATCGGCATTTTATTCCTTTATAAAGCTGAATAATATTCTATTGTATGTATATACCACATTTTGTTTATCCATTCATCCATCGATGGACATTTAGGTTGCTTCCACCTTTAGGCTGTTGTGAATAAGCTGTGAGCATGGGCGTACAAATATCTGTATGAGCCTCTGCTTTCAATTCTTTGGGCATATACCCAGAAATGGAATTGCTGGATCACATGGTAATTTTAATTTCTTGAGGAACCTTAACCAGTGTTTTGTTTTTTTTGTGTAACGCGGGCCTCTCACTGCTGTGGCCTCTTCTGTTGTGGAGCACAAGCTCTGGATGCGCAGGCTCAGCGGCCATGGCCCACGGGCCCAGCCGCTCTGCAGCATGTGGGATCCTCCCGTACCGGGGCACGAACCCGCATCCCCTGCATCGGCAGGCAGACTCTCAACCACTGCGCCACCAGGGAAGCCCTTAACCAGTGTTTTAATATTTAATTTTTTAATTCTTCCATTCATTTCATCTCAGAGAACATGTCCTTTCACTCTCTTGTGAGGGACCCAGGGTCTGAGCACAAATTGAGCCCTGGCACTAAAGTTAGTGCTCAGGTTGGTCAGCAAGAGATGGTGACCACCTGAATAGCATAGCCCCAGATCAATGAGACAGACAGAACTTTATGGCCAGAAATCTTCTTTACTGTCAGGACAAATTAGTTCTTTTCACAAGGGGAATCCTGAAGACCAGTATTCTGTAGGCCTGGAATTTTATTATTAAAAATATAGGACTTGAAGAGTCCCCTTGTAAAAAAATAGTGTTATTGGCTGACAACCTAGCCAGAATTTGGGAAGCAGGGGAGATGGAACTGAACTGTGTGAAGGAAGGAGGTTAAGCAGGGGCAGAGATAAAAGGGGAATGGGAAAGGTCCCAAAGACACTCATTCTGCTTTACCATTTGTTCTATCAACCTGGTGGTCTGAAGCATGCCAGAGCTGGGTGTTCATGTGTTCCCTTGCTCTGTCTCTTTCTCAGTAGGACTTATGAACGAATGGGAGGCGGGGGGTGGGGGGTGGGTGGGGGCGGGGAGGGGACGGGCATTGAGCTGCATAGACCTAGAGGTTTATTTTTCAAAGGATGACCAAGAAATCCATTTTGCCACCAATCAGTAAATACAATGCAACTTCCCAAAGCTCAATTTACAAAGAAGGAAATTTAATAAATAGCTGAAGATACCCCTGATTGAACCCATAGGTCCTGTGAGTAGACTCATGGAATTCTAAAGAGGTGGTTGCCTAGTAACCAATATAAGCAGCTTTGGAACCTAAAACTAAGAAAGGTTTAAGATGGAAGAAACTTGCTTCCCTTTGAAGACTTGTGTGTGGGAAGCCACTTTGAAGGTAATTTCAAAACACTGCTGCTTCATCAGTATGTGAAAGGAGCTTATTAGCATCAGATGAATGATGAGAGGCAGACAGAAGTAGTTGAAAATATTTTGGATTAAGTGTCAAAGTATCAGTGTGTTGCTTCAGGTGCTAAGCAGTACTGTGATCTTAGTCACGTCTGCTCTCCAGACCTTGGTTTTGAAACCTAATATAAAAGAGTTTTAACAGATTATCTTTATGGCAGCATTTCCAGAGTAATCTCATGAGACAGCAGTGTATCTGTATGAGTGCATGGCAAAGAATGGGAATTAGAAAATAGAGGGGAGGGAATTCCCTGGCAGTCCAGTGGTTAGGACTTTCACTGCTCTGGCCCAGGTTCAGTCCCTGGTAGGGGAACTAAAATCCCCCAAGCCACTTGGCATGTCAAAAAAAAAAAAAAGAAAGAAAGAAAAAAGAAAGTAGAGGGAGAAAAAAATGAAGGGAACTTTCTGTTAAGAAAGAGGCAGCAGGGACCCCCCTGGTGGCGCACTGGTTAAGAATCCACCTGCCAATGCAGGGCACACGGGTTCGAGCCCTGGTCTGGGAGGATCCCACATGCCGCAGAGCAACTTAGCCCATGCACCACAACTACTGAGCCTGCACTCTAGAGCCCATGAGTCACAAATACTGAGCCTGCGCACCACAACTACTGAAGCCCACATGCCACAACTACTGAAGACTGCGCACCTAGAGCTCATGCTCCGCAACAAGAGAAGCCACCGCAATGAGAAGCCCGTGCACCGCAACGAAGAGTAGCCCCTGCTCGCCATAACTAGAGAGAGCCTGTGGGCAGCAACGAAGACCCAACACAGCCAAAAAATAAATTAATTTAAAAAATTTAACTTAAAAAAAAAAAAAAGGCAGCAGAGAGAGGGTATTTGAAATAAGCCAGGTTAAAAGGCTGTGTTCCCTGATCCCACTCTCCCCACTAACCAAACTTCCTTCACAAATCTGACAGATACATTTTGGAGCTATGGTTTCTCTAAATTTAATGTGTATAAAAACCTCTGAGACCTTGTTAAAATGCAGATCTCTAGGCTTCACTTGCAGCCTACTGAATCAATATTCTAGAGTGTGGGACACAGGAATCTGCATTTTAACAAACTCCTCAGGTGATCTTGATGCAGAAGCTCCTTTAACTGTATCTAACAAGCACTGTAACAGAAGCTGACTGTCCCCTCTTGGGCCCTTCCTCAGAACTTCAGAATCTGTGGGTGTAGATCAGAGTGTATTACTTGTCTAAAACTCTCAGAAGATGGGACTTCCCTGATGGTCCAGTGGATAAGACTCCACACTCCCAATGCAGGGGGCCCGGGTTCCATCCCTGGTCAGGGAACTAGATCCCACATGCTGCAACTAAGAAGTCCACGTGCCACAACTAAAATCCCGAGTGCTGCAACTAAGAAGATCCCACATGCTGTGACGAAGACCCCGCGTGGTGCAACTAAGACCCGGCGCAGCCCAAATAAATTAAATAATTAATTAATTAATTTTAAAAATCTCTCAAGATACTGTGCTAAGGTTTATAGCCTTTTCTTCTGTGGCAGTTTCCACTGCTTTAGTAACAGAAGGAAAAAAACAAGATATTTCTCCTTTCAGCATGCATTATTTAGCCCACTTCAACTATTTCTGCAGAATAAAGGCAACAGACCAGGGGGTGAGGGTCGGGGACTGGAAAGGTGAACAGAAGAGTGGAACTAAATTTGGAACCTCTGAGATAGCATCCATTTTGAGTCTAGATTTTTATAACAGGTGTTAACTGGACACATGTAGCGTAAACCTTCGAGCCCCACTCCTGCCTGTCTAGCCAAGTTCCTAGAAATGCAAGAGATAATCTGGTGGTTGCTGCTTACCAGATTACAGGACCTGATCTGCAGTTATGCCAGGTTTGAATAACTGTAGGATGCAATTTATTCAGTTTCTCATGCTGTCAGTGCACAAAAGCACCTGGAACCTGCCACTCTGCTTTTGGTTCTTAAGGGCTATTTGTTGGGAGGGGACCCTGCCTCAATGTTAGTCCAAGTAACATTTAAGTTTGGATAATATGGAGCTTCCAAACTCTGTTTGTAGGTCTCTTCTTCCCTCTCTTAATTGCCTAGGGCCCCAGTATTCCTAAACTTTTCCCTAAGTGCCCAGTGCATCTACCTGTGGGGCCCCAGAGACTTGCCTTCTAAGGACAATACTCCAGGCTCTAGATCAATAACAATTCCTCACAGTTATGTAATACTTTGCAGCTTGCAGAGAACTTTCAGACATGTTCCCTAATTTTGAGCTTCATATCAACACTAAATTAGAACAGGTATCAGACTCTATTTTCAGATTGGCAAACTAAGGCAAACCAGGGATATTAAATCATTTAAACATGGCTGGGAAGTGCAGAACCTGGCCTGACACTTGTCTTCTGACTCTAAGTCCATCCAGGACAGACCTCTTTTGACCAAACCTTAGAACATTTTGTGCTGTCCCAATTCCGTTACAAAAACATATCTATCGGGGCTTCCCTGGTGGTGCAGTGGTTGGGAGTCCGCCTGCCGTGCAGAGGACGCGGGTTTGTGCCCCGGTCTGGGAAGATCCCACATGCAGCAGAGCGGCTGGGCCCATGAGCCATGGCCGCTGAGCCTGCATGTCCGGAGCCTGTGCTCTGCAACGGGAGAGGCCACAGCAGTGAGAGGCCCACGTACCGCAAAAAAAACACACAAAAAACAAAAAAACTCCATATCTATCGTGTTTCATCCTTTTTCAACAAGCCATTATCTTAGATGATGATAACTATTCCTTGAGAATTTATAATAACTGATAATGAAAACATGGTATTCTTTACGTGATGACAGCATTGTAACCAAAGATTATGTATGTCACAGGCTAAAGGGCATATATCTGGGGACATCCCAAATCATTCCATATAGGTAGTCATCTTAGGGTGAAACCAGTCCTCATTCTGTTTTTCAAGTGTTTAGGCTCAAAATGGCCCCTGACTTAGGAGCAAGATACTGACACACTGATATGTTAAGAATAAGATGTTCTATTAGGCAATACACAAGGCAGGAGAACACTAATATTGTGTTCATCTCGCAGTTCATTTTCAACCAGTGAGAGTAGACACTGTTTAAAGAAAAACAGCACCTTGTGACCACCCTCCAGCCTTGCCCTAATTTTTTTAGTCTGACTTTTAAAATACTCAGTGCCCGGTGGCCATGTTGCCTTCGTGACTGTGAAGAGATGGAACGACTAAATTTAACCTTATGTGCAAAAATTCCTGGAGGGACATCACATTAATCATGTGTCACTTAATGTGAGTTAGGTCATTAATTCTGGCCTAGTGACATCTAGGTAAAAGCTCACCCTTAACAAAAAGACACACCAAGAGGACAGATTTAATACACAGAAGAAAATGGAATAAATCAAGCCCTAAAAAGAGAAGGTACTGTGCTGGGTGTTGTGAAAGAGAGAGAGAAGAGTCAGATCCAGGCTAAGGGGTACCCTGTGCACAGGGCAGGAAAGGCAGGATTTTGCACTAAGCACAACAGAATAATGGTCTCACCTTCATGCTTGGGGCAGAGGTGGCAGGGGGGCAGTGTCACCTGCCCCTGGGAATGGCAAGGCCAACAAAATGAGTGGTAGGGAGCCAAAGCCAGTGTGGCACAGAAGTTAAGTGCTCTGGGGTGGAATCTGGCAGCTGACTTTGAAGCCTGACTCTGCTACTTATGACCTATGTGATCTGAAGTAATTTACCTACCTCTCTGAGCCTCAGCTTCTTCCCACAGGCAATAAAGACCATAATATCATCCCAGTGTAAAGCCCTTAGCAAAGTACTCATAATTGTCAATTATCATTATTAGGCCAAGGAAGTGCTTCAGAAGGAAAAATTTTTAAAAAGCACTAACTCTAGGCAATTGTTCTCTACACTGTTTTCCATGCTAGCTAAAACCTGGAAACAACTTGCCTGATAATTAAGAGCTAAGGTGATTTACCTATTTGATAAAATATTCTGTAGCTGTAAAACATTTTAACAGTGAAGACTATGTAACAATATGGAAAAGTACTGGGTGACTCTGAAGGACAACAGACTGGAGACGTGGTCCTTACGGTGCAGTTAAGGAGCCAAATTTTTTTTTTTTTGCGATATGTGGGCCTCTCACTGTCGTGGCCTTTCCCGTTGACGGACGCGCAAGCTCAGCGGCCATGGCTCACGGGCCCAGCCGCTCTGAGGCATGTGGGATCCTCCCAGACCGGGGCACGAACCCGTATCCCCTGCATTGGCAGGCAGACTCTCAACCACTGCGCCACCAGGGAGGCCCAAGGAGCCAAATATTTAACGATGTGAGGTGTCACAGGGTTAAAAGTTAAAATAACTGGAATGGACTAGGAGTGATTTGTAAATCTGTGTATGACAGGGAGGCCTGGATAGGTCAAGAAAGAGTTACGGAGTAGGCAGGAATTGAGCTGGGCCTGGAAGAACGGACAGAATTTGTGTCAAGTATGGAAGAAAGGCTTCACATGGCACAGAAGGAAGATCTACTTGTGGAGGGAAGAACACTCGGAGAAGAGCTAGGAGAGTCAAAAGGAGAGGTTACGTGTCAGGACAAGGTCATAAACTGGGGTCATACTCAGGGAGAACCCTGAATGCCAGGCTGAGTTGTCTGAACTTTACACTGTAAGTTCTTTGAACAGGGAGAAAGCAACTTTGGGGGAAAAACTGGAAACCTGGGATACTGCTGAAAAGCAGTAATCCCTCATAAGGAGATGAGGATCTGAGCTTTGGGACAAATGTGAGAACTGGAAGCAAAGGTCTGAACAAGGACCATTTCAAATGTTGCAGCACTTCTTTCTTTTGTCTTTCTAATTCCCATGGCTTCCCCCCTCCCCTACCTGTTCTCCAAGTTCTTTTCTTACTGACTGCTATGGGCTACCAATTTCTACTGACCTAGAGCTCTCACCATTTCTTCCCATTCCCTTAACAGGTACCTGGTCATGCCTCCAGGTCCTCCTCTGGACCAGGCAGTGTGGAAGGAAGCATTTGCTGGGAAACAATGACTAAGACCGAGAAGGGAAAGACCTTTCTCTCCCAGCATTTCCGTCAGTCACTCCCCCCACGGCTGGGATGGGGCATGATTTGCTCCTACTTAAAACCAAGAAATAAGGAGGAGTCCGCCTCCGTTTCCAGTGTGTCTCCAGTCTTCCACTCCAGCCCGCAGCACTGTGCAAACCTCAAGAACCAATATTTGAAACAGGCAGCTGCAAACCTCACCTTTTCTCAGGAGGTGGTGCAGCAGCGAGGGCTGGCCAGCATTCCTTACAGCCAAAACAGCTTTGACCATCTCTACGATGCAGACGGCATCATCCAGCCTCCCCACGTCAGGAAGCCCCGAGCTGAGAAGCCCGTCAGCTTCAAGTTCCTGGATTTTTCAGGTCCCTCAACAAGGGTCACCTCCCAGGCTATGAAGGCGGAAAGCTCTGCCAATCTTAAGAAGCTGAAGAAATCAAAGCCAGCAAGCGCAGTCCAGGAAGCATCTGGTCCTCTCAATCTTCATCCAAGCAGGGAGCTAGACGTGCTTTCTCCAGATGTAAACCTGGAGGAGAGGGAAACCTGGCTTCCCCCTCCTGAGAAGGAGGCCAGAGCATGGCAGGCTGTCGTGCTGGAAAAGCTTAACAAGCGCACTGCCCGATGGATCCAGAACAAGCGTCCTCTGAGGCCTGGGGTGTCCCCCAGTAAGTGGCAGAGCTTCTTGCACCAGCAGTATGACTGGAGCCACATCCAGGATGAGCTCACTTCCTCCAGCGACCTGGAGCTCTTGAAACAGCTGGAGGAAGAAGAGACAGCAGAATTTGAGGATCGAAGTGTCGTTCTGCCCACCCAGGAGGAAAAGAAGCCAGAGCTGCTGCTTCCTGTCTATTATAGGTAGACTGGCTGGGGCCTCGGGTGCGCCTTTGAGAATCCCTGGCTCCCCTTCAAGGACTCCTGGGTGGCCTCACACTCCTTATTTCAAAACACACTGTCACATTAACCTCTTGTGTTTTCCACCACCAACCTGCTAAGATTTCCACAAAGTAAGGTTTCGCAACCTCAGCACTCCTGAGGTTGGATAATTCTTTGTTGTGGGGCTGATCCTGTGCACTGTAGGATGTTTAGCAGCAGCCTACTGCAGGCCAGTAGCACTCTCCAGGTGTGACAACCAAAGATGTCTCCAGACATTGACACATGTCCCATTGAGGGACAAAGCTGCTCCCAGCTGAGAACCACTGCCTTTAAAGGAATGGGTTCTCAGCCTTTCCCAGCAGACTGAGCCATTCTGCTGTTCCAGGTACTATCCAGGTGTTCCTAGAAACAAATCCATGGTGGGAGTGAGGAAGGCAGAGACCTCATGAGGTTTGGTCCTGCCTCAGTCTGAATAAGGAGCCAGTGTGTCAACTGACTCGAAAACTGACTGGCAGCAGGACGGAGAACTAAACAAGCTTAGAGAAGAGGATTACTGCACGTTTCTCACATTGCTTCCTTTTCACTTATAACTGGAAGGAAGACTGGAGCTATAACATCCCTGATTCCTAAAAGTGAACTAAAGATAAGTGGAAACATTTATTTATTCATCTGTTGGACAACTATAAATTGCATTGCCACCACTTTCCAGGCACTCTGCAAAGTGCTGGGAATACAATGTAAATGAAACCGACATGGACCTATCCTTTAAAGAGCTTACAGTCTGTCCACTAAATAACCACAAACGTAATAGTTAAAGTGAGGTCATGGGTTCCCTTCCCCAAGTCCACGCACCCTCTAAGGGCACCAGTTTTAAAGCTACCTGTCCCCACTTTTCTCCCCATGTCACTCATTCCAAGATTGCCCAATTACTTGCCACAAGTGCAGACAGTTGAAAGCATGCCTGGCATCAGTAAGACTGCTGAGGACACCGATGGAAAGGGGAGCGACTACCAGCCCCCAAGGCAGAGCCACTTCCGACAGGTGAATCCCCGAGCTGGAAAGTTTGCTTACTCCACAGACAACACCTTTGAACAGGAGATTTACTTTGGTAATGGAGCTGGGCCCCTGTAGTAGGGGCCTAGGGGGACACGGAGCAGGGAGGTGGAAGGTAGCTGGGGGATAAAACAGTCATGGGTGTGGATGAGAGGCCCTGGATGAACCAAGTGTTCATGTTGACACCTCCTGGTTACTAGCACATGAGGTTTATTGGGGGTTTGTGGGGTGGAGGCCGGGGATGGGGGGTAGGCATCTGATAGGAAGGAAACTCTTCTTCCTCTCTCCCCTCTCTCTATCCATTTATGTTTACTAAAGAGGTAGTGGAGGTAGGATTGCAAAGTAAGCAAGATTCAGCTTTGGGAACAACCTACCTCTTCTCTGTTCTCCCTTCTCTCACTGAGATAATTCCCCCAATGAGGTGCTATGTTGGAAAAAACAACCACAGGCTCTGGAGATCTGAGCTTAAATCCTGGCTTAGCCCCTTCCTACTAACATTCAGCAAATTATATCAGCCGTCTGAGCCTTACATACCTTATCTGTAAAACAATATTAACAAAAATGCACTTTAAGTAGACAAGAAATATAGTGCCTCTTGCCCAATACCCATGAATGTCCACTACCTTCCCCTTCCATCCTGCTATCCTTTAGATGCCTGGGCTTCCAGGATACACAATCTAGGACTGCACGTTCCAAGCTGTTTATTCTTCCCTACCCCCATCTTGTTCCGAAACTGCTTTCAACTGAAAGTCTTCTTAAAATGTTTAACAAAATTATTCAGACAAAGGTATTTATGACTGATAAAGAGATGAATTAGGTAACCCTTCATTAGTATCCAGCTTTTCATAGGGAACAATGCCTGTGAGTTAGGTTCTGACTTGGCTTCCAGGCTTTTATGAGGCCACCAGGTCATACATCCAAGCAACAGTCACCTTCAAGGGATGCCCCCAGAGCAAGGTAGTCATGAGTCCTAGAGGCTTAGAGTAGGGCAAAAGGAAACTGTGTCTGATCCTGGTGACCAAAAACCCAGGAAGAGAGGAAGGAGGCGGGTTCTAGGGACTCATTATTTATCTGTTCACAGATAAAGTCCAGATCATCCACCAGATTGGTGCAAAGAGAGACCAGATTTTCCTGGAAAACCTCAATCGATACAACAAGCAGCTATGTAAGGTCTTCCCTGAAACCCCAGAAAGGTGGACTTCCCAGCCAGTTCCTGAACCATGTAAGCAGGAAGCTGATAATGGGGGTAAAGGTGGATGTAGGTTTAGTTCTTTAAGGCCCCTGTTTCATAGGCTGGGACACCACCAGCATCTAGGGGAGTCCCTTCCTACTAACTAAAAATCATCTCATAAAATTATAAAATACTAATCGTAACAGGAAAAGCCTTTGTGGCCCATACAGCTGAAATGAGACGGAACTTAGTTGTAACCAAGTGGTTTAGGGCCAGTAATTCCTAATAAGACAGATCCCACCTTAATGCTTCCAAAGGAAGTACATCAAACCCCTGATCTAGCACTCTGCCCTTCTTCCTTGGGCTGGCTCTACCCTCCCACTCCATTCTCAGGCCCATACCTGCTTCAGGCCCTAGAATCGACCTGTGTTTCAAATTTCTGTTTCATGAGTACATCATCCTTCATTCTGTAAGTTAGGTAAGGTAGAGGGAAAGGAGTTAACCAAGAAATAAATTTATGAAACATAAAGTGCCCATCCTCCAGAGACTATGTCTCCATTCCCCATGACTCTTTTTTCGCAATGTTACCATTCAGATGGGCCTGCTGGTGTGCAGAAACTAGCAGCAGTAGTGAACCATTCTTTTTCCCACCAGCCCCAAACCTCTGTCTCTAGTGCTGCCTGGCTCTAGAGGCAATATCCACTAGAGCCAGAGGAGGTGCTAATGACGGCAGGTGTGGGCAGCTTCCACCAAACTCACACAGCCTCCTCCTTTGTTGAGGGCTATGATTATAAAGCAGTGAAGAAAGCATGTAGCAAAGCCTTGGGTTGGGTCTTAGCAAGTCACCTTCCAGGGCTTCAACTGCCTCATTAAAACTGAGACACTAATCATTCCTAGAGCAAGGCACTCGTAAACACTTAGCAACTTATAGCACCATTCCTCCTCCCAAATTAAAAACATTAAAAAGAAAACTTAATAAATTAGTAATTAATGGCCAATTACATTCTACTTTAAATGGCAATATATCAAATATTGAACTTTATGAGCAAACACTGTTACATATATTTATATTCCTAAATATTTATTAAACTTATAAAAAGCCTTACATGTATCTCAACGTTTCTTCCCCAAATTTCTCTGCCCCATCATCATGGCTTTATCATGTTTGTAGTCAGGACTTTTCATAACTCCCTATGGGACTTGTACTCAGTTTCCTACATAATCACAGGAAAGTTGGCTCTTGACAGTTTTGTTTTGCCTTAGTGCTAGCCAGGAATAGGAATGTGATGCTGGCTGGGAACACACGCTTAGGGCAGTGGGCAGAATACCTCATACTGCTGCCCCGCACAGCTTGCAGGCCTGTGAAAGGAGCTATGCGCTGGACAGCTCTGCCCATACCGGCCAAGGATCTGCTGCTGCAGGTGGGTGAGGAGGACATGCCCATGAAGACCAGGAGACTGAAGAAGCAGGCAGAGTCACTGAAGGAGAATGTGACTTGGGAACTGGTGGTCCTGCGGAGGATGCTGCAGGAATGGAAGATGGCCTGGGCTCTAAGTGAGTGAAGTGGGTGGGGCGGGCGGGTGTCCTGACATATCAGCATGTTATTTGTGAAGGAGGAGGTTCTCACTTTGGACTAGTGTTTCTCAATCTTTGAAAATCCATCCCTCTCTTGTGAGACATAAAAATCTGGTTGCCTCATCAAGGTTAGACTAGTTAAGAGCTTTTCACACAATGACAGTTGCATTTATCTAGATACTTTTTGCATGGGCAGGTTTTACATCAGTAATTTGTGGAAACTCACTATGCTGAGAACTCTTCACAGGCAGAGACCCTATCTTACTGACCTCTGAAACTTTACACTCAATAAATGATGCATGAAAGAAAGGGTGAAATGTGCTGCCCAAGCAATGGAAATGCAGTGATCAAAAGAAACTTCAGTTGGCTGTGGTATATACAACACTTTCCCAAAATTCATTTGTAAATTTGGGATTATCATATATTTACTTTGCCTTCAGCGATATGGGAATAGAACGCTGAGTGCCTGGGACAGAGGAAGGGCCCAGCAAGGAGTGTTGAAAGCTGCAAGATTTGAGGACTCAAGGGCTGCTGGCTTTCAGAACATGAAAAACTAGTTTAGTTAGTGCAGGAAAAAGGTGATCCATCACATAAACTGGTTCAGGTAAACAAAAAAAGAGTTGAAAAAGAGATTCTGACTAAAAGCTACCCGTGGGGAGCACCTACAGGTGGTGGGAGCACTGAAATAAAAGCTCCAAAGCTATAAAGAGAGCAGTTAGCAATAAAAGGAAGAAGCCCTTGAAAGCCAGATGGAAGAGCCCTAGAAGTCAAGGAAACCTAATGATAACCACAACCATTAACACGTGAGCCCTTATTATCTTGCAGGCATTTTGCTAAACACTTTGTCCAGTTAACTCATTTAACACTGAACGTAACTCAATACAATGGGTTCCAGCATTATTCTCATCTTACAAATGAGAAATCTCAAGCCCAGTGAGGTTAAGTAACTTGTCCAAGGTCACATAGCTAGTAATCGTGATTCCAAACCAGGTATGTCTGACGACAAAGTACCCTTAACCACTATGTTTTATTGTACCTAACTATTTACCAGGTGATAACAATAAAGAGTTATTTAAGCCAAAAATATATATATATATAGGATGGGATTAGGAGTTTTGTTTGGGAACTACCTAAGAGGGTACATGGATCATCAGAGAAATAACTTCCCTCAGGACAGGACTCCATCTCTAGAGCCCTTTATTCTTCTGAGCTGTTTTGCTTGAACTGTCCTAGGGGAAGGGGACTTCTTGTCACCTGCCTGCAGCACAATATCTAGCCCTAACCAGGTGGTTCTCTTCTAATTTTCCTCCTCATGGTACAGTCATCGAGTGGCACCATAAGACAATAGAGGGCCTGCTGCAGAGCTTGGTGGACATCCATGATGACATCCGCATCCAAGCCATCATCACTTGTGCCACAGCTGCTTTAGAACGGCCCCGTATTGCCATCAGCCAGGGGGACTCAGGTGAGAGCCAGAACTGGACTGCTTGAAAATATAAGCAATTCAGAGCCATAGAAATTTTGAACTGGCGGAGACCCTGAAGCTTATCTGAGATCATTTCACAAAATGGAAACCAAGACCCAGAGACTGGCCTGAATATACACAACTTACCAGCAATAGAGATGAATTTAAAATTCCTGACTTCTAGTCTAGTGCTTTTTGCACGAATTTCATCACCCTTTGATGCTCAGTAGCTTACAAGTTCACATTGTTCTACCTTAGAGATCCCATTCATAATAGCCAAAAAGTATATGTGTATGTGTGTGTGAATGCACACACTTTTCTCCCGACTCCATTTTAGCGCTTCTTTTGACAGCACATCTCAAACTCAACATGTCCCACACTGAACTCATCACCCTCTCCATAGACCCCTCCCCACATTCCACATCGCAATCAGCATTCCCACAATCCATGCAGTTTCTGAGCTAGGACCCTGGGAGTCATCCTGGATAAAATCTTTCCTCTTCCCACAACCAATTGACCAATAAATTCTACAGATTCTGCTTCCTAAACATTTTTTTTTATTATGAAAGAAATATAAAGTGTTATTATCAGTCAACACAGAGGAGTATAAAAAGAGGTGGGACTTCCCTGGTGGCTCAGTTCTGCCTGCCAATGCAGGAGACATGGGTTAGATCCCTGGTCCAGGAAGATCCCACATGCCACAGAGGAACTAAGCCCCTGCACCACAAATACTGAGCCTGCGCTCTAGAGTCTGCAAGCCACAAATACCGAGCCCACGCAACTACTGAAGCCCGCGCTCCTAGAGCCCCTGCTCCACAACAAGAGAAGCCACCGCAATGAGAAGCCCGCGCACCGCAACAAAGAGTAGCCCCCGCTCGCCACAACTAGAGAAAGCCCGCACGCAGCAATGAAGGCCCAGCGCAGACAAAAAAGTTAAAAAAAAAAAAAGAGGTGATTATCTTCCCCCAACTCACTTCCCAGTCCCAATCCCACCCCCATGCCATTCCCCAGGGTAACCAATGTTTAGTTTGGCATTCCACCATTTTCCCTATGCTTTTACAAACATATGCCAACATACATGTGAGCTTTTCTATTTATTACAAAAATGAGTGTTGAATTTTACCAGCCATTTTCTAGTTTCTTCTCCTTTAATTTGCGGATATAATGAATTCTGTTGTTAAACTCTTAGAAAAAATCCTAATGGATCTTTCTTTTACTACTCCACTGGGTTTGATTTGTTAATATTTTAGAATGTTTTACTACATTTGTAAGTGAAATCGGTAGTTTTGTGTTTATTTATACTATCTTTATCAAGTTTTAGTTTTTACTAGACTTGTAAAATGAATTAAGGACTTGGCCATTTTTCCCAATGGTCTGTAATCTTTTGAAAAAGAAATGTCAATAGTTTTTTCTTTGCTAGCAATAAGCAGTTAAAAAGGAAAACTTCCCATCTACAAGAGCCAGAAGTGTAATCTACCAAGGAGCTGGCTTAACAAGACACAGGACCCAGATGACAGAAACTATAAAATGCTGCTGAAAGGACATAAAACCAACTGACTCTTCCTAACCCCCAAGTGCCCTCTCAGACACCACCTTTCGTGAGAAGCCTGGGCTGATACTTCTTCCTTCTCTGCTGATGGTAGCATCCTTTAAAAAAAAAAAAAATATTTATTTTTATTTTTGGCTGCGCTGGGTCTTCGTTGCTGCGTGAGGTCTTTCTCTAGATGCAGCAAGCGGGGGCTACTCTTTGCTGCAGTGCACAGGCTTCTCATTGCGGTGGCTTCTCTTGTGGAGCATGGGCTCTAGGCATATGGGCTTCAGTAGTTGCAGCACGCAGGCTTCAGTAGTTGCAGCACATGGGCTCAGTAGTCGTGGCACAGGGGCTTAATTGCTCCATGGCATGTGGGATCTTCCCGGACAAGGGATTGAACCTGTGTCCCCTGCACTGGCAGACAGATTCTTAACCACTGCGCCACCAGGGAAGTCCGGTAGCATCCTGATATTATTCTGCCCTAGCATTTATCATTCTGTCATAATTGTCTGTTTACTTTTCTGGCATCTCTACCAAACAAGGAACTTCTTAGAGGTGGGAACTAATTTTTTCTCTACAAAGTTGTCACGTTTTTAAAGTTTCATTTCATGTATTTCCTGTCTTCTGAGTTCCAGATATGGGCATTTTAACTCCAGGTTTTCAAATTTGCTGCTCCCTCTGCTGGGAAACTCTACCTCTCCCTCTTTACCTGATTAACTTCTATACATGCCCTTCAATTTTCAGCTAAGGTATCACTTCCTCTGAGGAGTCTTCCCTGCCCCACCACCCAGAATTGGTTTGATGTCCCTGCTAATATGCTTCCACATGTACACATTCTTTATTTTAAACGCTTATTTCCTTGGGGTATTAAATGGGATGATGTGTGTTAGTGCCTGGCACATAGAGAAAACCTTCAATAGGTGGCAAGAGATATCATCTTATCCCCAAATCTTCCACATACATTAGAGAATACCTTTGTCATTCCCTTTCATATGATCCCTTTCCTGGGTGTCTAGATTTTTTTTTTTCTTTTTTGCGGTACGCAGGCCTCTCACTGCTATGGCCGCGCAGGCTCAGCGGCCATGGCTCACGGGCCCAGCCGCTCCGCGGCATGTGGGATCTTCCCAGACCGGGGCACGGACCCATGTCCCCTGCATCGGCAGGCGGACGCTCAACCACTGTGCCACCAGGGAAGACCCTGGGTGTCTAGATTTTGATTTGTCTTGTTTCCTCCCCACAACTTCCCAAAGAAAATTATCTTACTCATTATTTCTTGAAATAATTGACTTCTATCTGTTCCCCTGAAATGCACATATTTCCACCTAGCCCATTCTTAACAGATGGCACAGTGGCCCACAGTAGTAGCAAAAAGGACAGATCAGAAGTTCTAAAACCTTAGCTATAGAACTAGCTCTGCCACATCTTGGGAAGTCAGTTAACCTCTCTGAACTTCAAATTCCTTATCTATAAAATGAAACTAGTTGTGGACAAAAGGTTAACAAAACACTTTCCCCCCTTACTTGAGAAATGAGCTTTAGTTAAATGCCTACCAGTTGTCCCGATAACCTGATAAGGATAGGAACTATCTTTGTAGGCAACATTGCTTATAATAAAAATGAACCCTGACTGATAAATTACATCTGGACTGGGAAGAACTGTAAGTGAAACATACACGCCTGAAGGAGGCACCATCCTTTGGGCTCCCATGAATGCTGTAACTTGTCAAAGCATGCCCTTTGAGGACCTTGGAATTATATCTATGGAGTTGTTCTATAAAAGAGATAATAACTGTGGTGGAACATAAGACACATACCTGGGGATCGATTCCATGCTCCTGAGCTGTCCCCAGAAGGCTCCATGGAATGCTAGACAAACCACCTCAAGAACTCTTGCCAAAAGGAATGCCTGATGCTGTCCTGTTGGCAAACTATGCTTCCATCCTATTTCCTTCCAAAGATTAGTGCCATGCGTGGCCTATGATAGTCTTGTGAGACTGTTTAGTTAAACCTGAAAGGACTCCTGCAATACACATATTTCAGGTGAGCTCTGCAGTCATACCTGCCTTGCCTACTTCAATGAGGGTTAGAAGACTGAATGAGATAATGAATCACTATATAAGCAGCAAAGCACTACCTAAATATATTTGCTATTATTATTAAAAATACAAAAATATATAAATAGGTTGATTTTCATCACTAAAACTAATGGTGATGGTCACCATAGCCTAGCTGGAAACATTCTCCTTTGGCTTGAATACAGCTCTGTAGAGGCCAGATGATAAAGGATTGGGAACAGGAATACCCAGCACAAAAGTCAGCCTTAAAATCCTGCCCATTGTAGGGGCTCAGTTAAACTCTAATTATATTAAGAAGCAGTAAGCATCTGCAACTGAGACTGAGGTTGGCCACCATGTGACTACAGGAAAAAGCTGTTTCAGAGAAAAGCAAAGGGGCTAGCTAGCACCCTCTTACTGGCTTTCTTTTGATCACAGACAAGGAAACCGTCAAAGCTCCATCTGTCCAGGACTTGCCAGAGGTTCTACAGGCCCCCCTAAAGGCTGCTCTTTGTGACAAGAACGCCAATGTGCAGATGGCAGCAGCAGTATGCCAATATGCCATACAGTCACATAATCTTCTTGCCCGGGAAATCATGCAGACTGCCCTTTTGAAGGGTGAGTAACTCATTGTTACTTCTGACCTGGAAATATGGGGTAAAGAAAGGACATCTCACCATCAGCTTTTCCTAATCCTTTCCTCTCCACCATCATGCTCTATGATGTCTACTGTATTGGGTCTGGTATTCCATTAGATACTCAGAGATTTGTTCTTCCCAGGTACTTTACAAAATAGGTACACTGCCACCTAGTGGTACCTGGGCTAAATATTTCATAGGTGCATTTGAACAGAAACCATGTCCCCTTTCATACAACCAGATTTTCAATTGAAAAGATAATGTAATAATATTAAAAAATACATTCTAAAATTTTTTTAAATCACCACTTGAACACATCTTGCTTCCATTTTTGCACATTAACTTACAGGCATTGTCCACAAGCACTGCTGGAGTAATACAAGCAAAAAGGTTCTGTCAGATGATAGGCCCAAGGTGCCCAAATGCTCTGTCTGAAAGATGTACCTGTTCCTTGCGTGGCGGCAGGGGTGGAGGACAACTGGCTGACCAGTTTGGCCTTCGGCATGGAGATACTCAACAATTTAATTCATCTGTCTTAAGAAAGCCTCCACTCCGGACTTCCCAATCTCTAGTGAGAGGGACAACCGTATCTCTCATCCAGGCCGGAAGTGCCTTCCTGCTGTTACCTAACAAAAACATTAGGATTTGACTTTTCAGGTTAAGATTTTCAGTCTATATTTAGAACCTTGATACAATCCATTTAAATGTGATTTAAATAAGGGATTGAATTTCGAGACAGGGGGCAGAGGGAAGTGAGATATCAGGCAGGTAGCAGCCTTGTGTACCAACCCAAAGGCTGCTCTCTCTGTGGGGAGAAGAGATCGCCATTCTGGACTCCTTTTTCACCCCACTGTGGCAGGTAATAGCGTGGACAGCTGGGCTGCAGCTCAGTGCCTGGCTCTGGAAGGTGCTGCCACTTACCCTGTGATTACAAGGATCCTCCATCAGCTGTTTAACAAGAAGAATGAGGACACTGAGCAACAGTCTTGCATGCTCCTGAGCCATCTAAGTGCGAAGACAGTATGTGTTCATTACAGGGTCAGAGGAAGAAACCGAGTTTGGGGGGAACAATTGGGCCTCTGAGGTCGGTGCATGTAAGGAACTGAAAATGCAGGTGGTTGGGTAGGGATAATCTCAAGCACAGGTAAAACTGGACTAAGTGTGGGTGAACCGGCGTGTATACAAGCAAAAGTGACAACAGCTAGCTGAGAAAGGTGAGAAAAGTAGGCTGCAGATGGTTTCTGTGTAGGCAAGAAAAGTTGTGATATGCAGAATTTGCTTCTGCCAGAAGTTTACCACTGAAAACTACACAGACCTACAATTCTGTTTACTTCCAGTAGAAATGTGAAACTCACAGATTGAGGCATATACAAATCATTTTAGGGGGAAAGATAGTTAAGAAGAGAAGGTTCCAGGAATTTTCTGTTCAGATTACTAAATCTGTGTATTGTTCCCTGATTTGTTCCCCAGAAATCAGTTGGCTTGGATGGAAGAGTGCCCCATTGTAAACCCACTCTCCTTTGCTAGCAACGGGCATCTCATGTGTTTGTGACATTAACTATGCTGGATGCCAGGTTAGGATATAACTTCTTCAAGGTCCCAGCATCTCTAAAAGTGATCATGGATATCCATACACATCTTCCATTTCCTCAGACCCTGATACATACCATGCTTGCCGTGGAGCTGAATAGCCATCAATGGAAAGACCGGATTGTAGCCTGCCGAGCTCTCTCCCAGATTGGTGGAAATGTCAGTGTGGTAAGCCTTCTCTTCCTGTGTTTCCAGGACAGAAAGTCTAAGCAAAACTGAGCTAGGGAGCTCTTCCACTTTTTGCTGCTATCTAGTATCCCATTCTTGCCAAACAGATCTCTGTTGCCATACTGCTACCTCTTACTCCTAACCCAGAATTCTCTTCAAATGCCAGCATATCGTTCTATTACTTAAGACACTGCTTCTCAGCCTGGTGGCAGTCCACAAACTGTTTGTAACCTACCTACAATGAAGTAAGCAAGAAAAAAAAAGAGAAAAGTTTAGAAACTTTTATAGTAATTTGACATTGCCTCCACATCAAGGTATTTTATAAGTATCAGTCAATACTGTCCCTACTTTCAAAAACCTGACATTAGAGTTAGCATAACAAGACTAACACACAAATGATTCAAGAACAAGTGATAAATGTAATGTACTCAAAACTTTTCAGAGAGAGATTAGTGTGGGCCGAACCTATCAGTTAAAGTTCTGTGAAGGAAGGAGTGTGGGTCAGCTGAGCAAGACTTGGAACAGAACTGAAAAAAAGACTTCCAGGCACAGGAAACCCTGACCATCATTTAGGCTTTCACCTGACCTCCTTCTTGCCATTATTTTAAAATCAACTTCAGCTGTCCAAATGGGATTTTTTCCTTTCTTCCTATGTGCCACTACGTTTTCCTTATAACACTAAGTAACTCCAAAATGGCCCAGAACACTGCCATTCCCACGAGAAGAGGGCACCCTCCATCTTGACCCTCACATTTTGACGTGGGAAGCACAAAACCTGGCCATTCAGTGTAATCAGTATAATTCTAGTCTGGGTTAATTCTGCTTCGACTGCCATAGTACCCTGATGCTAAAGTCCTGGACCAGCAGCATAGGTATCACCTGGGAGTTTGCTGGAAGTGAAAAATCTCCCCTCTGGTCAATTCAATCAGAACCTGAATTTAACAACACCATTTTAACAACATCTGATTAATTTGCACATTCACCTCCTCAGCACTTGTTACTCAGGATGGCCAACTGAAAGTAAAAAGCCATGCAGAGCAAGCAGGGGGCGGGGTAAAGATGAGAACTTCACATCAGACTGCTGGGGTTAAGCAATATGTCCATCAGTCCTTTCACTCATTCAGTAAGCAGGCAGTTTCTGACCACATCCTACATGCTGGGCAGCATGCTACCATTGGGGATGCAAAGATAACACATCTTGGTAAATGTTACATGTAAACAGCTATAACAGAAGTAGCTGTAAAGTATTATGGGGACTTCCTATTGCTTACAGAAGGCAGAGGAGAGTTCACTGAGGAGATGCTTTTTGAGTTCAATCCTAAAAGAATAGGAAAACATCAGGTATCAGGTAGGGGTGGAAAAGGGAGATGTTTCAGGCAGGGAGAATAGTTTTGGGCACATTACATAATCACCAACTAGTAATCTTCGTCCCTTTCCCTTTGAGAGACGTACTAACACACAGGGTGGCCAACTGTCCTAGCTTGTCCAATACCTAGGACTTTCAGTACTAAACCCAGGAAAAGTCCCAGGCAAATTGGAATGAGTTGGTCACCCTACTAATGTATCACTTTCAAATTTTAAGAGTCTCAAGTACAGATTATGCTGGCCCCAATATAATACAGTAGTTTAAAGCATGAGCTTCAGGCTTCCCTGGTGGTGCAGTGGGTAAGAATCCACCTGCCAATGCAGGGGACATGGGTTCGAGTCCTGGTCTGGGAATATCGCACATGCTGCGGAGCAACTAAGCCTGTGCACCACAACTACTGAGCCTGCACTCTAGAGCCCACAAGCCACAACTACTAAAGCCCGCATGCAGCTACAAAGACCCAGCGCAGCCATAAATAAACAAATAAATAAATAAATAAATTTATGAATAAATAAAGCATAAGCTTCAAAAATAGGCCTGGGTCTGAGTCCTGGCTCCAGCACTCAACAGGTTAACCGTGGGCAAGAAATCTAAGCCTCCATTCTGTCCCCTACAAACGGTAATATCTGCCTTATGGGATCGTTTGGGAGGATTACGTGATGGGTAAAAGTACTTATTAGCACAGTGCCAAGTACAAAATTGACTTGGTAATAAATGGTAGCTAATTATTACACCTATGTGTAGGATATGAAACATAAGTTGATCCAGCTGATGTTGAGTGACTGGAATAAGAAAGTGAGACAAGCAGCTGCCCAAGCTCTGGGGCAAATGAGCCTTGGGAAAGAGGTGCATGACACAATCAGGTAAGACCTTGTCAACATGGTGAAAGAAGTTTTATTCTTAAAGTGTTCAGGGAGCCTGGGCTCCAGCCAGCCAGCATTTGTTAAGCTGCTCTGTCTGCTCAGCATTGTATAGATCCCATTGCAGGATTTTTTTTTTTTAATAAAATAAAACATTAACAGCCCCTACAGACACTAACAATGTGGCTAAGGGAAGAATCATTAATTGAATGCCCACTAGGTGTTAGGCACTGTTTTAGATGTTTGAGAGTTCAAATGTATGCCATGATTCTGATTATACAGGCAAGATACACAAATGCCTAGCAAAGTCAAGTTTCATGAAGGATGGGTAAGACTACGTAGGCAGAGAGAAGCTAAGACCTTCCACACTGGGAGCCAAATACAGAAATGAACATGGCACATGTGAGGGCAGTGGGGAAGAGAACTTGACTGTAGCAAGAGATCCATGTTTAAAGTTTCCTTTATTCAGTCATTCAACATAGTTTAGCGCCTAGCATACTCTAGGTAATAGGGATTCAAGTAAATAAAACAGTTGAGGACTCTACCTGGTGAAACTTAAATTAATGTGCATAAGGCTAAGTAGGAAAGGGTGGGAATGGATAATGGAGAGCCTACAGAAGTTGGATTTTATCCTGAGGGCACTAGGGGTGGGCGTGGGGAGAGGCACCAAAAGTTTAAGGAGGGAAAATAAGAGCACCTGTGCCTTACAGAGTCAAGCTGGGCCAAGGAAACTACCAGGAGCGTGTGGAAGCCCTCTCCCTGATTCGTGGGCTCAAGCTCATGACCGCCAAGCTTCTCCCAAGCTTTCTGAACTGCTTCTCTGATGACTTCACGGCAGTTCGGCAGGCAGCTTGTTTGGCTGCTGGTGCCCTGCAGATCCATGATAATATGGTGAGTCAAGGAGACATGTACCCATCTTACCTGATTAACCCAAGAGGGCATTACCCTGTGCTTCATTCGTACATAGCATACTCACCATTCTGTGGGGACACAGAATGAGAGATCAGAACCAGAAAGGTGAGGAGATATATAGGCCACACCAACAGTTAGGACCACACTTAGCTCCAAGCCAGCCTAGACTTCACTTTAGAGCACACCCCTGAATCCTATTCTCACCTCAGTTAGCTAGCTTCTCATTACATGGGTGCTGTTAGGCTTAGGGATCGACTCCAGTGAATCGAGTTATAATCCCTAGTTATTAGTGGAAAACCTGATGGAGGTATTCAAAAGAAGCCTATATGGCCATAGATCTGTTAGCTAGGAAAATCAATCTACAGATAGGAGATAAGAACACTCTGCGCCTAAGCCAGTACTTCTGGCTCCAGCTCATTTTTTCACTAGATTTGATAGAAGGCCACTTTTCCAGTTAAAGCACATTTAGACAAGAGGGGTCCCTGTCTCTGGTTCATTCTTGCTCTGATTCTCTCCACTCAGCACTGCCTTTTATCCATCCCAGGTCCTTGAATGCCTTCTGAATCTCATACAGAGAGATCCCTGCTGGAAAATCAAGGCCTTTGCCATTCGAGGTATTACAGGAGTGGCCCCAACTCCTCAACCTTCCCGTATTTTAGTATAGATGATCCCCAGAATCTCTTTAGGAAGAGAGTAGAGTGTAAGGGAGGGGATAATCACAGAGAAGTTCCTTGCCTGAGAAATTAAAGATTATTTTCTTGTCCTTTTTAATTTTTAGTTAAGGCGTCTAGGTCTATGTCAAACGCGTTAAGGCAAAGGGCTGACAGGACAATCCCTGCCAACAGAATTAGGTATGAGTTCCAAGTAGGTATCCACTGTTGGATATACTTGCTTTCTCTGGAGGTTTCAACCATAGGACTCTGTAAAAGTCAGACCAGATTCAAGACTGCTACAAACCTAAAATCCTGCCCTCAAATTTCCTAGAGTTTATTTTCAGGGATTTTTGGCATTGTTTCTCTCTGACAGTCTGGCAGGTCCCTTTAAGAATCTGCCCTGGGTTAAGTTGCAAAGTAATTGTGCCTTCTTTCCCCATTACCCTGCCTTGACTAGGTTGGTCTTCTGAGTTATCTATCCCATATCTCATTCCGAGATAAATAGGACAAGGATGGCATGCAATACCCCCTTCTGGGAATTCTCTGGGGATAATGTCCTATTCTAACCCATTCCTAAAATTCTAATGGTAATTGTCATCTAAAAGGGAAGGTAAAGACAAAATACTTAGTTTAGTATTTGCAATATTTAATTTAGCAAGTGGTTGCCTCTACCTTATTATTTATTAATAAGGCCATTTCTGGATGCTAGGATATAACAAACTCAATCTTAAGTGACAGTGGAATACGCTGCCCTCTAATCTCTGCAGCTTTGGGACAAATTGGCCACGTGAGTCCCCAACTGACAGACCTCCTGCTCTGGGCTATCCACTATGAAGAATCACCAGGTGTACGACTAGAGGCTTGCCGTAGCATCCTAGCCCTCAAACTTCAAGGAGACCGAGTCAGGGACACCTTCCTAGACGTGCTGCTCCTAGAGAACCATGATGCTGTTCTAAAGTAAGCACTAACCCTCTGGCTCCTGCCGTGACCTCTTGTACGGCCAACTCTCCCAACCTTGTTAACAGAGTATGTGCCTGCCTTTCCAGGCTGCTTAATGGCTGTAAGAAGCACAGGCTCACCTGGGCCATTCATCTACTTAGCAAGTGGGTGACAGAAAAACTGGCCTGAATTAGATTAAAAGTCAAGCTCATGTAGTTTACGTACTTGTTCATCATCCCAGGTGGGTTTTTTTATTCAACTAACATTTATCAAGTGCCTACTTAGTGACGATAGGCTTTAGCGTCAAAAAGACCAGGATTTGAACCCCAGCTCAGACATGTGCTAGCTCTGTGAGTCTGGGTAAGTTACTTAAATTCTCTGAGCCCATTTACATTTTTTCATGTATCAAACGCAGATGGCAGTCTGCCTTATGGGTCTGTGGTGATGATTAATGAGACAACATGTTAGTACCTGTCATAAAGGTGTTCAATAAATAATATCTACTAGTACCTTCAAGTATATCATCTCAAAAACTACAGAACACCCCTACAAGCTAAGCATCATACAATTTTTGCAAATAAAGCTCAGCAAAACTGCAGTTAGGATTGGAACTTAGGATTCTTGTCTGATTCCAAGTGCTGTATTTTCCACCTCCATGCTTTAATGATAGGAAGAACAGCCTAAGAAGTCCTTCTTACCTTTCAGAGAAATTCACCATGCAATGAAGATACTCAACTTAGAAAATGAAGGAAACCAAGAAATGCTTCAGAAGATCAAGAACAGGGTAGATAAGTACAAGCTATGTTTTCAAGAAAAAATTCAGGGCTCTCAAGGGTTCCTCAGGCTGCTTTTTCCCCCTAAGCATGTACGTACCCTCTTCCCCAACACAGAAATACTTTCTACAGCCCCAGATACAATATCTCACTTGAAGATACAAAACACATCTGTGCAAGATAGGATTATAAAATCCTACTAGTAAAAAGTAAAACAAAGCAAAAATCCCCTTATCCTATCAAGTAGACCTCAAAATCAGCTGTTTCTGAGATATTGTTTCCTTTCCTTCCCTTTTTTTCCCCACCATCCTCTAAACCCAAGTTCTTTCTTTTTTGCAGATAGGCATAAAGAAGGAATGAGGGACTGGAATAGGCCCCCTAGATTTTTTTTTTTAATTAATTAATTTTTTTTTGGCTGTGTTAGTTCTTCATTGCTGCGCAAGGCTTTCTCTAGTTGCTGCAAGTGGGGGCTCCTCTTTATTGCGGCGCACGGGCTTCTCACTGTGGTGGCTTCTCTTGTTGAGGAGTGTGGGCTCTAGGCACACGGGCTTCAGTAGTTGTGGCTTGCCGGCTCTAGAGCACAGGCTCAGTAGTTGTGGCGCACGGGCTTAGTTGCTCCGTGGCATGTGGGATCTTCCCGGACCAGGGCTTGAACTCATGTCCCCTGCATTGGCAGGTGGATTCTTAACCACTGCGCCACCAGGGAAGTCCCTAGATTTTCTTTTTCCTTCTAAACTTTCCTTAATTCCTAATCTGGGCTCTTTCACCAAAGGAACTCTAGCTGAACAGGTGGTTCTAATTTTTCAAAGCTGTTAGAGGAGATGAAAAATCGAGGGAAAAGGACTTTAAAAAGGCAAAAGAGGGCCTCCCTGGTGGCGCAGTGGTTGGGGGTCCACCTGCCGATGCAGGGGACACGCATTCGTGTCCCGGTCCAGGGGGGTCCCGCATGCCACGGAGCGGCTGCGCCCGTGAGCCATGGCCACTGAGCCTGTGCGTCCGGAGCCTGTTGCTCTGCAGCGGGAGGGCCCACGGTGGTGAGGCCCACGTACCGCAAAAAAAAAAAAAAAAAAAAAAAAAGGCAAAAGATTCTTCATGTAATTCACAAAACCAATTTCACATCAAGCAAGCATTTCTTAGCAGATTCCTTTCATCATGTCCAAAAAGCTAAAGTAAATTTTTCAATAGCAGATGTGAAAAATGTCCAACCAATATCACCAGAGAACAATGTTCTCAGGCATTTATGTACCACCTAATACTAATAAGCATGATGCAATGCTACTTTATTAACGCTTTTTGATGATTTACAGCCTAGTATAGTTGTTTTTTTCAACATTTGTTCTGATTCAGATTCAAACACTAAGCCAAAAGGAACTGTTGATACAGAAAATATTCAAGATTGAGACAGTCATGGGAAAAGTGAAGGACGAAGCAAAACGTGTTTACATGCAACCCAAACAGGGGCAAAAACCACTGAAATTCCATACTTTTCTCCAAGAAACTTTTCAGGGTAAGTTTTCTAGGGGTGAATCCTATGCCTTGACTCCTTTAACAAGCCTTTTTCATGACTGGATGTTTGGGGACTTAGTTGTGAGCCCTGTAGGATGAGAGCCAGGAAGGGACACTTTCTTTTCTTCTTGGCCACCATCCTCTCAGTCCTTCTGTTATCTTTTCCTTGTCCCCCTCCCACAGGCTCTGATTTGCTATCTGCCCCTTAAAAAAAGAATGATGTAATTCTATCTGAACCAATTTGAAAGTTAGGTCAAAAAAAGGACGCCTTAGAAAAACAAAACAAAAAACTGCCGTGTGTACGTCTGGTTAAGCACTCAGAAAAATCCTTGAAGCTTAACCTTGAATAGTAATATTACCTCTGGAAAGTAAGATTATATGTACATCTACGCTTTTGCAACTTTAAAAAAAAACGATTTCATAAAGTTCTCAGCTTTATATAACTCAACCTATCAGTTACAGTGAAAGGATCTTAAAAGTTCCAGATACAACCTAAATGATGAGGTGTAGACATCAAGCTGTACCAAAACATACTTACAAAATCAGTGTGCCCAGGCGCAGCAGCAGCCTCAGGTCATTCAGCCAGCTGCCCACCAGCCACCACCCCAAACCCAGGTCTTCTGCTTCCAAGTCCAGTGCTCTCTCTGGTACACCAGGCTCTTTTCCACCAACCATGAGAATATTCACTTGCCAGATTTGGGGAAGTTTCTTCCAACTGCCAGAAAAAAATGAGAGTGGAAAGTAACTTGAACACCAGCCTTCCCTCATGGCCAGCTTGCTACAAGTTGGCTGACTGAGGCCTATGACAGCACAACTAGGTGACATTCTGTCTCTTTGGGAGCAGTGCCAGCCACTGATGCAACCAAGCACTGAGCAAAACCCTAATACACTTTTTAAAACATAATATACTCATAACTTTTCTAATAGGATTGTGCTGTTTGGGGTTCGAGTAACATGATTAAAATGAATAAATTACCCCCAAAGTTGCAGAATTGGCCCCAATCCTACAACCGTCCCAAGTTACCTTTCACCTCAGCTGTTGATTTTCCCTATCGACCTCCCTCCTCCCACATTTCTTCAGACCATGCCACATAATAATCTAGCCCTAGAAAAAGGAAAACATTCTCTGGCATTTTAATAACTTTTCTAACATTCACACAAACTCATAGTAACCAACAGGATACTGACCCCAACCCTCCCCCCAAACTGATGAAAGAGAACTCAAATGAAGGATGCAAATTCCAAATAAAAACTTCTAATGTCTCAAGCAGAGTAACACAGCAAATGCCACACAGTACACGGAAGCCTGAGGGTGGTGATGAAGTTGGTACTCTCAAACGATCAGGAATCAAGGTTACTTCAGAACAAGCTCCTTCTTCCACCTCCAACTTCTGCTTTTACTTTTGTGCCTAGATGAGGTGGTGTTTCCTAGAAGACCGTCTGAGTTCTGTGACATTGAAGCAGTCATAAAGGTAAATGTAAGCACAGTGATGGTTATTAAGGTAAGAACGAATTTTTCGCCCCAAAAAAGTGGTGGTGGTAGGAGAGAATCACTACTGTCTTGTTTCTGGCAATCAAGGAGTAACTAGTTCAGGTTAGAGGCATCTTGGTGAGCAGCAGCCCCTTGTCATATAACATGGTCGCCAAGGAAAGCTGGTCCTCCACACTGTCGCACGGCAAGTCCGCTACCCTCACAAACTCTGGGTAGGAGCGGAGCAGGAGTTCCATGGCATCAGCTTGCTGGGGGTATATCTCCAAGCACTTGGGCTCTTCCAGATGATAAACTCGGGAGTTTTCCACTGTATAATAGAGAAACAAATGGCCTCCCTCACCCACCAGCCGAGCTATACCATCCTGAAGCATGTGCACTTCTGTTTCTGTTGTCAACTGGGCCCCCACGTTTACAGGTTCCCCAGCCTCCCAGCGAATTGGGAGCCCATAAACGCTTAGTGCCCTCTCCCTCTCAGTCAACACAGGGGGCAGAGAATCATGGATGAAGTCTTTCGCTCTCTGGTCAGCCACAGCATCAACAGGGGCAAAGTGTCCCAAGCGGGCAACCAAGACCCGCACTTTCTCCATGAAAGCAGTTCTTCGCGGATCCTTAGACTCCGAATGCTGGGCCCCCATGTAATCCATAAAGTCTCGGGGCAGTCCCCTACGAAACTCCACATTTTCCTCCATTGCAGCCTGCACTGCCAGAGGCAGTACAGCCTCCAGGAAGTCGCCCCAGGTATTGCGCTGGTATGTGGACAAGGTCAGGTGCAGAGAGTGCACTCCATCCTGGCATTCGGCTTGGTGAATGAAGCCTCGGGGAAAATAGAGCAAATCTCCAGGTTCCAGCACCGTCTGCAGCACCGGCTCTCCTAGGTCGTCCTGACTGAAGTTGGGGCTGGATGTCAGGGCTAGTTCCTCAGTCGGAACCCGCGGTCGGTAGACCCGCCAGAGTTTCCTACCTTCCAGCTGCAGCACAAAAGCCTCGATATCGTCGTAGTGGGGCGCAAAGCCCTGCGAGTTGGGGGGCGTGAGGTAAACGTTGGAGCCTGCCATGCTTCCAAACTGCTCCTGGAGCACAGCCAAAAACTGCCACACGGTGGTGGAGAAAGCCTGCGGACAGAGGAGGCGCAGGGAGCAGCCGGCCCTGTACAGGGACCACGCGGCAGCGGGCAGGGCGCGGCCAGGTGGGTTCAGGGTCTCGCGCCGCCCACTGATGTAGCGCGCGGCGTCCAGGTGCTGCCCAAACTGCACCTCCTCGTTGCGCAGCATTGAGTCCAGGTCGGAGGTAGAGAAAAGACCCTGGTAGTAGGTGTGGTCCTGCCGCCGCACCAGCACAGCCTCACGCTCCCATAGGCGCCGGTAGAAATGGTCGGGCGGCATGGGCGCGATGAGCCACTCGAAGAGGCGCGCAGCCCGCCGCCGGCTGC